GCCGAACAAAGCGCACTCACCATTTAGTGCGCGCGCCGGGTGGGTTTGAGAGCAGGCAATCTGCCGCCCTCTCTTTCTGGTTGGTGGATAGATACCACAGCTGTTCCGACCTGCGCGCGTTCGCCCACCGCGCAGCGGCCCGCAGACGCCTGGGAAAGGACATTTTTTGCAGCCCACCGCGAGAGCGCCACCGCTCGCGCATTTGCTACGCGTCTACCTAAGAAGCAGGCGCCCACGCGAACAAAGCGCACTCACCATTTAGTGCGCGCGCCGGGTGGGTATGAGAGCAGGCAATCTGCCGCCCTCTCTTTCTGGTTGGTGGAGAGATACCACAGCTGTTCCGACCTGCGCGCGTTCGCCCACCGCGCAGCGGCCCGCAGACGCCTGGGAAAGGACATTTTTTGCAGCCCACCGCGAGAGCGCCACCGCTCGCGCATTTGCTACGCGTCTACCTAAAAAGCAGGCGCCCACGCCGAACAAAGCGCACTCACCATTTAGTGCGCGCGCCGGGTGGGTTTGAGAGCAGGCAATCTGCCGCCCTCTCTTTCTGGTTGGTGGATAGATACCACAGCTGTTCCGACTTGCGCGCGTTCGCCCACCGCGCAGCGGCCCGCAGACGCCTGGGAAAAGGACATTTTTTGCAGCCACCCCCTGGATTAAAAAGTCTGGATCGGCACTGCAGGCCCCCCTGCATCGTCGCTCCCCGGGGGGTAGACATGACTGGCAAGAAGTACCAAGCAGAATCGCAACTTCCAAGCAACATAACTGGGACCGGAAATTTATGTGCGAGGAAGTCCCAAGCGAAATCGCGAATTTCCGGTCGCCACTGAGAATTTCCGGTCGCCTGAAAAGCGCCCGGAAATTTTTGTTGGAGGAAGTATTAGGCGGAATGCGGATTTCCGGTCGTCACCCCACTTGGCGATTATAATATTAGAGGGGGTGAGGATGGACCGGAAATTTAACCATGGCGGCCCCTGCAACATTGTACCAGGGCCCCGTGGCCTAACGGGAGCCGAACAACAAGGCTTATTCCCCGACCTCTGCGGTCCGGACTTTTTATTCCAGGGGGTTGTAGTCCCGCCGCACATCGAGTTGCCTGAGTCGTTGATCGGCGAGGGTGCTGGCACCCTGGTGTCCTAACTCGGGCCCATGCGGCCGTTCAGGACGATCCGAACACCCCCAGAACGCACTCGGCGAGGCGCCGCCGCCAGAAGGCCCGAGGCTGGAAAGCCGCCGAGAGCTAAGGACAAAGCCGAAAACCTCGAACCTTCGCCCCCCTGCGCCGCACCCCCCCCCCTGACTGGAGGAACCATAAAAACAGCACAGAGTTGAACAGCTTCGGAGCTAACGAAGTCGCCGCCGAGAGCCGACGACAACGCCGAGAGCCTCGAACCCGGACCCCCGCACCTCGCGTCGTCGATCGGCGAGGGCAGGGCTCGGCCGGGTCGTCGCTGCCTGGCGCCCGCCTGGCACCGTCGACGGCACGTGGAGCGAGCTGCGGAAAAAAAGACGGGCCACTTTCTAGCAGAGCGGCTCTTTTGTGGACGTATTAGCGGCGCGCACAAGGGGTGGAGGGAGGGGGGAGGGCTTCTTAGAAGCAGGCTGCTTCTCAGAAGGCGCTGGCCTTGCATCTACAGATTAGGCCCGCGCCTTCTGAGAAGAGGGGTGCTTCTGAGAAGCCCTCCCCCCTCCCCCCTCCCCCCTCTGCGCGCGGCTGAACGTATGCGCATCCTCTGCTGCTGATCGGGAGGGTTCGGAGTCTTGTTGATTACAGGGCAGTTTTTTATCACATAGGATTCAATAATACAAAATGATTTTTAATACATGATTAATGTATGAGTTGAGTAAATCTATGCATGAACGCATCGTTGTTTGTTTGGAATACTGAATCCCTGCATTTGTAATACATGATCCGCACGCGGAGCACGTATTGAAAACGGCACTGTAGGCCGTCTCTCGCGTGCTCCACGGCACGTGGAGAGCGCGGGCCGGCGGCCCGCGCGCTGCGCTCCTGCAGCAGCGGCAGCGCACGGGACCCCTGGCGCGTGGTGGAGCAGCGCCGGCATGGCAGGGACGCACAGACAGGGCTCGCACGCCGAAAACCGGGGGCCACACGCGAGCCCTACCCCTCCCCCCCACGATTTCTGAGGGGGAGGGGGGGGGGTCCACTCCGTGCGGGAGCTCCCGCGCGAAGTGGACCCCACCCTCCCCCTCAGAAATCGTGGGGGGGAGGGGTAGGGCTCGCGTGTGGCCCCCTGGGAAACCTCGAGCCTGCAGCCCGGCACCTCGCAGCGTGGATCGGCGGAGGCGGGGCTCGGATGCCCGCCGCCGCCAGCCGCAGCGCCGCGGGGGCCGGCCGTGCCGCGGCCGAGGCCGCACGGCGCCGCCCGCGCGCGGGGCCCGCGGCCTTTGTGCTTCCCGGAGCGACGCCTGGCGCCCGCCCAAGTAATCCACCCTCCTCCTCCTCCTCCTTCTCCTCCTCCCTCCTCCTCCTCCTCCTCCTCCTCCTCCTCCTCCTCCTCCTCCTCCCTCCTCCCTCCCTCCTCCCTCCCTCCTCCCTCCTCCTCCCTCCCTCCCTCCTCCTCCCTCCCTCCCTCCCTTCCCCCTCCCTCCCTCCCTCCCTCCCTCCCTCCCTCCCTCCCTCCCTCCTCCTCTCCCTCCTCCCTCCCCCTCCTCCTCCTCCTCCTCCTCTCCTCCTCCTCCTCATACCCTCCTCCTCCTCCTTCTCCTCCTCCTTCTCCTCCATTCCTTTTCCTTATAATTGACTTATCCCTGTCGCACCCCCGAGATCTCCTCGCCACGCATGACCATGAAGCTTAAAGAATGGTAACAGTTTCACAAACGCAGGGCTGGTCGTTTTCAACATGTGGCTCTCGCCTCAGCGGCGTGCACATTCGTTTTAAAATTTGCAACGGTTTCACGGATTGAGGGCGGTTCCTTTTCAAATTGTGGCTCTCGCCTGTAGGGCCTATAAAGAAGGAGATTGGAGGGAGGGTTTATTCCAACATCGCTGATGAATATTGGGTTTACACTGGTCCTCCTCCTCCTCCTCCTCCTCCTCCTCCTCCTCCTCCTCCTCCACCGCCTCCTCCTCCTCCTCCTCCTCCTCCTCCTCCTCCTCCTCCTCCTCCTCCTCCTCCTCCTCCTCCTCCTCCTCCTCCTCCTCCTCCTCCTCGCTCCTCCTCCTCGCTCCTCCTCCTCCTCGCCATCCGGCGCCGCCCGCGCGGGGCCCGCGCCCCTGCGCTTCCTGTAGCGACGCCTGGTGCCAGCCAAAGCACAATCAGCCCGTGCCATAAGGACACACGATACTTGAATAATAAAAAAAGCAAAACTCTTGGCGTCCTGCGCGGAGTTCTTGGATCCGCGAGCGCGCCAGGGGCGGCGTCGGAGGCGCCGCTGGGAGGGGCCCAGCGCGGATCCAAGAAATCCGCGCGGAGCGCCAAAAGTTTATGTGTATGGCGCTTCTACTTCTTCGCGACAAGAATGCAAGGGCCCTGGAAAGCCATATCGACACGTTGCGAGCGGGGCGCGGCCAGCGAGAACGGCCGGGGAGGGGCCGGGAAGTGGCCCACCCTTGCTGTGCGGGTGGACTGTAGGCATGTCCAACGGCTCGGTGGCGCTCTCGGGTGCCAAGGCGCGCAGCGCCTCCGCCAAGCGGGACAGCGCCGAACCAGAACTGCCGCTTCTGGCGTAACCTGGGGGTGGCCCTGCAGGCACGCGCCCCGCGCAGGGCGCGGGGCGCCGCCTGGCGCCGCCCGCGCGGGGGGCCCGCGCGGAGCCCGCTGCTCGACGCGAAGGCACCCTGCAGACGGAGCTGCGGGGACGTGCAAGAGGCCCCCAGCGCCTCCCGAGTGCTTCCAGAGCGAGCACCGGCGGCGGTGGAGGGGAGCGCCGCCGCACCGATGGGGAAGAGTCGTCGGATCGGCCTCCTCCTCCTCCTCCTCCCCCTCCTCCTCCTCCTCCTCCTCCTCCTCCTCCTCCTCCTCCTCCTCCTCCTCCTCCTCCTCCTCCCCCTCCCCCTCCCCCTCCTCCTCCCCCTCCTCCTCCCCGTCGCCAGCCGAGGGAGTGGACGGAAGCACTCGAGCCCCGAGGCTCCCGTGACCTGCGGCCGAAGGACGGCATCTGCTCGGACCCCGCCTGGGCAGGCGAGCCCAGAGCCGAGTCGGCCGAGGCGGATCGGCGAGCGAGCGAAGTGGAGCCGAATCGGCGAGCCGAGTCGGCGGGCGAAGCCGAGCCGAGCGAGCCGAGTCGGCGAGCGAAGCGAGCCGAGTCGAGCGAGCCGAGCCGGCGAGCCGAGCGAGCCGAGTCGAGCGAGCCGAGCGGCCGAGTCGGCGAGCCGAGCGAGCCGAGTCGGCGAGCGAAGTGGAGCCGATGGGCGAAAGTCGGCAGGCAGGGTCGGGAGAAGCCGAATCGGCAGGAATCGGCGGGCTGGTAAGGCCTCCAGTGAGAAGCTGAAATCCGCCTCGGAATCCGAAGTCGAATCGTACCGGAATCGGAATCGATCGAAAGCGAATCGAACCGAGTCGGAGGAATCGAACTGGGCCCTGCCCCCGGGGGCAAGAAGCCTCAAAGAGAGCGCTTCGGAACGCTCTGGAACAAATTTATCCTCGTCCCAGTCCTGTCCGACTCCAAGGGGGCCTGGCTGGGCGGCGGCACGGTCCACGAACCGCCCGCACGCCCTCGCATCTGGGCGGCCGCACGGGCCGCGAGCCTCAGACTCCCGGCGTCTCGGAAGAATCGGCGCGGAGGTCTTTCCTCGTCTTCGGCCTCTCGGGGCCCTCACGGGGCATCGGAGCCGTCAGAAAACGGCTCGGGGCGAAGAACACCGATCCCGGGGAGGTGGTCGAGAGGTCGGGGGCCCACGTCTCGAAAGAATCGAGACGCCGGATGTCTGGGGTGTGCTGCGCGCAGGAGGGCTGCATGCTGGTCGGGCCCACATTCCATCCGCACCGCCACCTCCGACCCAAGCCTGCCCTCCTCTGGCAGGGGCCGCTGGACGCATCTCCTCGCAAACGTACTCGGCCTCCAGCTCGTCGGCCTCCGCGTCGTCGCTCTGCGAAGCCCACGACGCCCACGAGGCCTTAGGAAAGGCACAACAGGCGAGCTAGTAAATGTGTCTTCCCGGACCCACCACCGTGCCAACGGCATGTCGAGGCGTGTTGGAACGCCTGCTGGCTGTCTACCACGTGGAGCTCCTGAAGCATTTAGGGGCCACCCCCTCCACGCTCTTCACGGCCACGATACAGCCCCGAAGAGGCCCAAGATCGCCCCGAGACGGTTGCAAGAAGCAAGAAGCAAGAAGCAAGAAGCACCAGCCGAAGATGGCCAACGAAGCCCAGAAACCACGACATGTTCCCAAGAGACGCCCTAAACGACACCAAGACATCCACAAGAGGCCCCAAGGGACTCTGTAGCAGGTCACAGGCAGCCCAAACATGTATAAACCTATCGATGTTGGAGCCCAGCGCTTGCAATCAAAGGTGCTGACTTCCGTTCTAAATGTTTGCCTGGGTCTTCCGGATGTTCGGCTCGAGGACGCCCGTCGCTGCCTCGTGCGCTCGCTGGCGTTGTGGATGCACACATAAATTGCACCACATAGCTTTCAGCACGCATCGTGAAACTCATGGACTGAAACGCATAGATCCCTTCGCCTACACATTCCCCGCCTGCCAGGGCCAGACTTCTCCGACCCCCATTAGAATAATAAGTTCACATATATATATATATGTGTATACATATATATACATATATATATACATACATACATACATACTATGCACTATGCACTATGCACGACCCGTCGTTTCGAACAACATGAGTACAACGCCAGCCTTTGCGTGATCGCCCCAACCCTCCCCACATCTCTGTCAAAATAACATCATGCGGTGCACACGGGGTGAACAAACAAGTGCGTTTTGCCAGAATCCGTGTCAGAGGACAATGCGGCCCCCGTACGCGCACCCCCGCGCGCACATGTCAAACCCAAATAACAAGCCAAAAACATGGGTTGCAAATAACACCTTCAGAGTTTACACACATGTATGTATGTATGTATATGTACACATGCACACACACACGCGTTTGCAAAACGAATTGAAATCCATTGGGCTGTTCAACAATAAGGTGTCGGACTTCTGCGCGCGCACTCGCTGGAATAATCCGAAAACCATGCGTGTTATGCTGTTCTGCCGAATGGGACCATGCAAGCCGCACGCGCGCGCACGTCGAACACAGTACGCAACCATCGCGCACCCGCCAACTCTCAATGAACTCAATGCGGGCCACACGCGCGCGTTTCCGCACGCGCATGTTGAACTCCTCCAAAACCAAAGGCGGTCTATTTCAACACACATGTTTTCAAACAAGTTCGAAAAGTCAATGCTGTGCTCAAACACAGTTGCAACTCGACGTGTTCTCCGACCGATAATGTGACAGGAATTCTAGATTTCTGCGCGCGGGCACTTCCTCGTCGCCCTCACTGGCAACATCGTTATTATCATCGCCTGCGTCGTCAGTGCCACCGTCATCACCATCATCTTCATCACCCCCGACCGTCGTCATCAAAATCAACGTCGTCATCTTCATCGTCGGTGTCGTCACCCTCGGCACCATCGTCATCATCGTCGGCAACGCCGTTATTGCGACCGTCATCGCAATCAGATTCATCACCATCACCACCGTCGTCTTCAATATCCCCACCGCCGTCATCTACACCATGACCATCATCATCAGCAGCAGCAGCATCCTCCTCCCCATCATCATCATCATCATCATCATCATCATCATCATCATCATCATCATCATCATCATCATCATCAACATCATCAGCATCATCATCATCAGCGTCAGCGTCAGCGTCATCGTCGTTGCCGTCGCCCTCAGCCCCATCGCCACAATCAACACCAGCGTCATCACTGCCACCGGCATCACCATCGCCGTCATCACCATCATCAACGCCATCGTCATTTCCATTGACATTGTCGTCGTCCGCACCCTCAGCGCCCCCAGTCACCAGCATCAACACTCGCCCGCCCGAGTCATGGGTCTGGGCTGCTTGAAGGCGTTCTGCCTCGCCCCTCGTGGGCCGGCGGGCTTCGACCTCGCTCATCTCCACGCCCAGTGGGCTACTTTCGCGCACCAACCCGGGGAGCGGCCCCCGCGGGAGCCCCCAACCCTCGAGCTGGCCCCCCCCCTCTCACGGGCCCCGCGAGGCGCGCGGAAGACGATCGAGAGTCGCCGCGCTTCCTGCCGCGGCCGCAGGACGCCCCTCGCGATTGCTGGGAGCCCTGCCGGGGCCCAGGCTTGATGGCAAGAACACCCGGCTTCGCGACGTGCGCGAGTGCGCACTTCTCTCCCCGGGCGCGGCTACCGCCCCGTGGGGGCCTCGCGACCAGGTCTGTTGGATGCGCCATCTTTGGCACACGCGCGACAAAACTCACTCGAGCCTTCGTCGGCGCCCGGTCGCCCCGCGGGGGGCCGGCAACCAGGGCGCCCGCCACCGCGGGCCGAGCAGCTTCCTCGTCGAGCGCGGCCACCGCAAGTCCCTCACTTGCGGTCATGATGTTTTTTACCTCGGTTTTGGTGGACCGTCTCCGTCCTGCAGGCAGGATGCCTCCGACATTCCAAAAGCTCCTGGCGTCTGTCATAGAGCCATTGGCACGTCTCACTCGGGCCAGCCCGCTGACTCCCACGGCGCGCGCCCACGTCGGCCCCCATCTCGATGGCGCCTCATTCGCGACCGAAACAGGGCATCAAGGATATCATCTGCAGGGGCCGATTTCACAACGAATTAACGTAGCCCCATTATTCGAGGAACTTGATCAGACTGTCTCGGTCATCTGGGCTTACTCAGATCGGAAAAATCAAAGGCGCACCCATCGGCTCCAATCGGCCGCTAACAATCCATAAACATGAACAGTCTGAGCCGTCCCTCAATGCAGCAATGTCGGGCTTCGGTGCCCCCCTCGAGTGCGTTCGCCCGCCGTTTGAAGTCATCACGTCGAATGATTTCGCCGAGGGCTGACGCACGCTTCGCGCCCAGCGCGTCAATGCCCCCGCTGTCGCGAGCTTCTCTCAAGTAGCGCCCTCACCCTCGACCTCAAGATACCATCTGCAAGCCGCTTCAGGCCTTCCCGAAGCCAGGCTCAACGTCTCGTAGATGATTGCCCCCATTCTCGGATGTGGGGAATGGAAGGGCAGAGATCTAAATTTGAGGCGATCCGCCTCCTTGCATTTCTTTTCTTCAATTCCCTACCTAGGCTCTGCCTAGAAGGGTTCTTACTCGGTGTGCTTAAAGGGCCGGGCAGTGGAACGCGCCCCAGGCAGTTCCCCCAGTATCCGCCCCGCGGTTCCCCCAGTTACGTCCCCTTAGCGTAGCGTTGCTTATCTCACCTTAGCTTAGCCTAGCTTAACTTAGCTTAGCTTAGCTTAGCTTTGCCTAGCTTTGCCTAGCCTAGCTTAGCTTAGCTTAGCCTAGCCTAGCTTAGCTTAGCTTAGCTTAGCTTGGCTTGGCTTGGCTTAGCTTAGCTTAGCTTAGCTTAGTTTTGCCTAGCCTGGTTTAGCTTAGCTTAGCTTAGCATAGCTTAGCTTACCTTAGCTTAGCTTAGCGCAACGCAGCATAGCGCAGCGCAGCATTAGCATAGCATAGCATAGCATAGCATAGCATAGCATAGCATAGCATAGCCAAACATAGCGTAGCATAGCATAGCATAGCATAGCGTAGCATAGCATAGCATTAGCATAGCATAGCATAGCGCGGCATAGCATAGCATAGCATAGCATAGCATTGCTTAGCATAGCACAGCGCAGCATAGCATGTCATAGCACAGCACAGCATAGCGTAGCATAGCATAGCATAGCGCAGCATAGCATAGCATAGCATAGCATAGCGCAGCATAGGTGCAGATGTTAAGGCAGGTGTAGATGTTGATGTTAATGTAGATGTAGATGTAGATGTAGATGTAGATGTAGATGTAGATGTTGATGTAGATGTAGATGCAGGTGTAGTTGTTTATGTAGCTATCGGTGTAAATGTAGATGTTGCGTTCCTAGATGCTCCAACTCCTAGGTAGGGTCGCACTGGGATAATCATCTCAACGACCCTCTTTGCTGCAGACCGACGGTCGCTCGATGCATCCACGCCGGCGCCAACTCTTCCGACTTCGGACGGCGGCGGAGCATCTGGCGGGCGACGCCCAGCCTCCAGCGACTGAGCCCACGGCTCTTGTGCGACAGGTCTATCAGGCACTGGCCTGTTTGGCGTTGTCGGTGGCTCGCGCCGTTGAAGCGATGGCCTCCATTCAGGACGCGGCCGCGGCGGCAGCGGGACGCCGATCACTTCCCCATCTTGAGGCGCTGCAGCATTGCAAGCGTCAGCTTTCCCCGCCGCAAGAACACCCAATCTCCCCGAAGCAACAGCATCAGTCGGGTCGGGCGAAAGGGGGGGATAGCAAAGGGGGGGGGTGAAATCAGCTCACGTAGCTGATTTTCCCGGCGCCTCCCGGCGCCGGAGGCGGCTATGTATCGAGGAATGGGCCCCTCGGTGAGGCCGAAACCAGCTGCATGCAGCAAATTTCGTAACCCCCCCTTTCCCAATCCCCCCCTTTCGCCCGACCCGAATCAGGCTTCCCTGGCGCAACAGCATCAGGTTTCCCCGACGCAGTCTTGGGCAGTGCCCCCACAACTGGTGGGCGAGCGTTGCCCACGGCTCTCCAGTCGGCCAGCTCCCTGACCACGGGCGGGGATGGGCTTCCTCGCTGCCCAATGAGAGTCCGCGTTGCCAGTCTGACACGCCGCGTAGCTGGGGATATGGCTGCCGGGCCATGGCCGCCAGCTGCACGGCGGGTTGCTGGTGGTGCTCAGTTACTGTCCGCGCGAGGTTTTCCGCCCTCATCTTCATCCGACTATCCTCAGCACCTTTTCACATCCCTCGGCCCTGCCAGCTGGAGACTGCACCTTTCTCTGCAGCTCCAGTAGGAGAGCCTCTTGCATTGATATGACACCGCCGCTGGAAGAGCAGCCCATCGGCGCTATCCAATATTTCCCAGAGGAAGGCGAGAGACTTCATGATCACCTGAATGCAG